TTTTTCTAAAAAAATCTTTTTCAGTTGTGCAATGACCTATTTATAGTTTAATAAGGGTATTTTAGTCATTTTATGACTTGACCTTTGTTTTATTATTTTGTTGGAATTCATAATTAAAATTTTCATTTTCAATGCGTATTGATATTTGTGCTTTTGCGACACTTGTCCACTATCAGTGTATTTGAACGTAAAGGCATGTGGCACTAATATTAAAATTGGTTTGTTATAGTTCGCACTGATACGAGTCTAGTCTATTTTCAAGACCTCTAATTATATTTCAATCCATGCTGAAGTTGTGTACATTCCTTTGTTCAGCAAGCCTCGACGATTGAAACATTTTTTTTCTTGAGCAGACATCGGTGATTGAGGCATAAATATTCATTTTATGACACATGTGTACACGATATGTTGTGGTTGACATAGCATTCAGGTGGATCATAATAATTTCTGTATATAACATTACTCCCCAAATTCAAATTTATATGAATTGAAGGATTTCTAATATTCTTTGCTTCTATTATTGAAGCTTTCATTCGTCTAATATTTTATCTTATTCGTTGCATGACTTTTCTTTCTTCTTTGAAATATAATAGAATTATTCTAGTTGTACATCAAGAATTTACATAATGGTGTACACCTCCCTCGCATGATGTGGGACCCACTTGTATAAAATTTTTTTTTATTCAAGCGGGTCTCACCCCTATGTGAGGGGGCAGGGGCGGATCTAGGGACGGGCTTGCCAGTGCTACAGCCCGTCCCTTCCAGCTCAAATGCTGAAGAAAAAAAAATTTAAGTAAAAATAAAAAAAAATTTATGTGTGAATTTTTTTTCTTTGTGTATTAGCCCGTGCTAATTTTTTTTCTGGATCCGCCACTGTGAGGGGGGTGTACACCCCTATGTACATCTTGATGTACCGCTAGCAAAACCGATATAATAATATTGTACAGAGACCAAAACATAAGTGTTTCGAAAATCCATGAGGGACTTTCAGCATTTGTTCAAGACCTCATGAGTTGGAGCATTTTCTGGGTCTTTTACATGCAATTCCCAGTAAATAGCATTATGTCCAATGCTAAGACTAAATAACACATTTATAAGCATTTGCATTTCTCATGTAGACTTTTGCAAGCATTTTGAGTCGTAATGACGTGTCATTATCATAATATGAAAATGGCAATGCAATCATTGATCATTATTTGTACATTTTACACTTTTCACATCTCAATCAAAATTGCAAAGGATAAAAAAACATGTGGAAATTGCAAGAAATGTCAACTTTCTTTTAGTCACTTGCAAAAATGGTAACATTCAAAAATCCTTGCAAAAATGGTCATTTTGATATATTTTAGACCAAAATACCCATGGTCAACAATTTATGATTCCATTCAAGGACTATTTTGGACATTTTTGCAAAAAAAAAAAGGGGGGGCTAATGAAATCTTGACACATAACCTGCTCCATTTATTGTAAATGACAAGATGTCAAATCACAATTAATGCTATTTTTTGCATTAACACAGAAATGTCGAGAACGACATTTCAAGTGTAAAGAAATGTCATGTTGAAAATGAAATGTCCTTCTAGACATTTAATATGTCGAGAATGACGTTTTGAAATGTCGAGAACATTTAATATTGTGATTTGACATGTGTACTATTGAAATATAAAACGGAATTCAAATGTCGAGAATAACATTTTAAATGTCAAAAATACATAGAGATTCAAATGTCTTTTTTTTTTCATTAAGGGCATAATAGACACTTTAGTATTAAATTTGAAAATTGGACATTTTTCAACTCACACCCTTAATTGTGGACATTCTTGAAAATACCCCAAAAAACATTTGCTGGAGTTTGCACTTTGACTTGCATTTGATGCCATATCAACATGAGTGCCGCTATCCTTCACTAAAATGGCAATGAATTTGTGATTATCATCACATGCACATTTCACACTTTTTACGTATTGAAACTACACTATTAAGGAAGAATATCATTTGAAGTCGTGTTCATTGTTCATATCGCTTGTGCATGCATTTTGAGCCATTACAACATGAGTTTCGTTACCATATTATCGACAGTCCTTTATTACTCTTACCTACACATTTTGTACTTTTCATGTCTTAGAACAACATTACTTTGTAAAATAACAAATTTTAGAGATTTTTTATTTGGCATGATAGAAAATTTAACATTGTTGTCAATTATTGTTATTTTTGTTAAAAATAAAAAAATAAAATAAATCCTCTATCATAGAATGACTCAAGGTCGTTTTCTTGTGTTTTATCGATGTAGGACTGTGAACACCTATTCTCTAACTCATTCAGACTTTTTCCATCATTTTTATGTCTGCATTGATAATATAGGCATGTGTAAGAGTTTTGATGTCATAACGACATGAGTGTCATTTTCGTGGTATTAAAACGACAATGAAGTATTTATTATCATCACACGCACATCCAAAACTTCTCAAGTCTCGAAATTACATTACGAGAATAAATAAAATTTTCAAACGTTTGCACTGCTCAAATACGTCGTACAAAAGTTTCGAGACATAACATCATGAGCGTCGTTGTCATAGTACTTAATAATGGTATCGTTATGATAGTTGCAAGCACATTTTGTATCTTCGACTTCTTGAAACAACATTACTCGCTAAAAATAACATATTATAATAGAGATCCATTGATTGAGTGTAATTGAAAACTTTAACACACAACATTATATATCAATACATTGAGACGATCGTTATCTCTTCAAACTTTCAACTTCACAAACAATGTCATATTTACTTTCACGTAGCTTGTGTTGAATGACTTGATTATTTGCCCTCCAAAACGATGCTACCTTAGTACGATATAGTTCAATATCATTTGAAAATTGGAGACATTTATTTTCTCTCGAGATAGAAACTATAAGGGATTGTTCTCTTTATATTTCCGTGTTGTATTTTGTGTTTTAAGTGTCAATTTTGAGATTGTTGAAAATGTTTTCGTTTTGACATTTTGAAAAATTGTTTTGAAAACACCTAAAACGCGTTTTGAAAATTTTGACTTGATTATAACTGAAAACACCCAAAACGACAAATTTGTCGTTTTTATAAATTTTTAACTTATTTTTAAAAATGCGTTTTCGAAAATAGGAAAGAGAACGCGTTTTCACTATTTTGAAAAATCGAAAACAGAAAACGATTTGAAAATAGTATAGAAAACAAGCCCTGATTGTCTCTCAACATGGGTATTTTCAAATTTGATGCATTTTTCACACAAATCCTTCTCAACAAACACATTTCAACTTCAACATGAACGACGTTTAAAACAATGCTGCACATAATTTTGGAATTCTAATTGAACATTGAATGCATTGCATCCCAAAACATATTCAAAATTTGAAGAACTACTACTATTCAAAACATTCCACCCCAAAAATTTCTTCAGCATACAAAAAGTACTATTGCATCCATCTCTCAAATACTCAACAATCTCCTTTTTAAATAATATCATTATTTCCTCATAAATATTATTAATAAGCCCCTGTTTGTTTGCCATTTATTTCTCATTTCTAGAATAAATCTTACCGTTGTAGCCTGGAGGAGTAGCATTTTTTGACCAAAACATGTCATGGTGGGTCCCATCCAGTTGAAAATAATGGTCAAAATTTTCATTTTTTGCCAAAAATAATGGCAAACAAACAAGGGCTAAATAATGTCTTCCTTGAATTTCATTATATGTTCTAAAGTTAAAAAGAACGTTTGGTCCTGAATTGGAAGAATAATCTATATACAAGACATATAAAGGCATATGATTAGACAAGCAGGATGTTAGATTCACACAAGCCGAATTTCGCAATTCCGATGAAAATAAAACCAACAATTCCAGCTGACGTTTTCTTAATAAAACAGAAAAGTGTGGTATTAGAACACACTAGATAAAAAGAATGTAACGAAAATAACATAGATATAGAAATATGAAAGAATACTCACTAGTCTACCATTAATCCATTCATCCATACGTCGAATCTAACAATACCCAAGAAAATAAACCCAAAATTGCAACTGAAATTCTCAAGAAAACAGAAAAGCCTGGGATTAAAAGTTAACACACACTAGTGAACCATAATGTTGATTATTAACATTATGGGCACACAAACGATGTGCACGGTCTATAATATGACAATAGGAGTATATTAATGGCCGAAGAAGGACGTTAGTACCAAAGAGATGTGCTGCAGGTACACAAGGGTGTACATAAGGGTGTCTATAATGGACACCCGGTTCCCTTTCATTGGAGAGAGTGCTAGACCCACCAACACTCCATCCAATGGGAAGGCGTCGAGTGTCCATTATGGACACCCTTATGTACACCATTGTGTACTTCTAGCATTTTCCAGTACCAAATTGGTGCAACTTTCACACAAAATTGGTGCAATTTTCTCACCATTTTACAAAATCATCTCCAACCATTACAACAAATATTTTTTCCTTTATTTCCTTATAATTTAATTCTCAACAATTAATTTATTTAAAAAATTATTTAATTATATTTAATACCACAATTAAAAAAATTACATATAATAAAAAGAAATTTCACAAAAGAAACACAAATTACATTTTACTTTATTACAATTTACTATAAATGTTAACTAAAAATAATAATCAAATTAAAATAAACATTGATAAAGTTGAATCATTAAATGATAAAAGGATATATAATAGGAATTGAAATTTGTTGTAATATATAATGAAGAGAAAAATAAAATTTATGAAAAGCTCTAAAAATCGCCCAAATGAATAGTGTTGCACCAAATTGGCGTAGGGATTGGGTTTGGGATAGAGTGAATTTTTGCACCAAAGTAATAATTTTACGCCAATTTGGTCTATAGTTGGAGATTTCAAGGTCTTCGCCTATCACACCCACGGAGAGAGAAGGAGAGGTCATTGCATGTAAGTTTGTGAGAAGTGAGACTTGGAAGAAAGGGGGAAAAAGTGAGTATTACTAAACTCTCAGGATTTGAATTTTGGGTTACTTTTTAGGAGTATACTGAAAATCTTCCCACATGAAAAGGTGCTGGGTAATTTGCTGCGTGACTGCCATAAAGAAAAATCGAATTAGTGTATCACAGTTGACACTGGATATATAAGATTTCTTTATAGAATTTCACCCAGATTGTTGTTCTGTAAAGAATGATGACGGTCATGTTGCAAGGAAAGCTTATAAATTGGCTTATATCAATTGGAGTTCCCAAATTAAATCCACAACTAAACGTGTTCATAATCAAATGGCATAAGCAACCATTCCAGTGACTTATTTTAGCAACAACCGCCACCAAGCTTCTATACAAGTCTTTCAGTATAGGGAAACCCAAGTACCCAACTGAGGAAATTAGAAATCACCAAAAATGCCGTAAGCTTTCCAACTATATCTAGCAACTAATTTTAGGGTTCATGGAATATTATTCCGAACACCCTCTCAACCAAATCCTATGACGAAGTAGAGCTTTCCATAAATAAAGAAATCAGAGTCCATGGCACGAGGTATGTAATTCACATTTCGTATGATTTTTGTGAAGCCCAACCCACCACCACAAAATAGAAAGAAACTTCCATAAAGCATACAACAATAAATCATGTCTATAACTTTTCAAATGCTCTTATTTTTTTCTCTATTAAATCAAAGTCCAACCATCATTCATTTCAGTTTAGGAGTACAACAATCTGGATATTCAACCACCCAACAACTAATTGAGAAACTATCACTCAAGATTTGTGTAAAAATGGAAATTGGATAATGATCTAGATAGATGTAAATTTGACCTTAAGATGAGGTAAACCATTTTCTATCTGAGCATTAGATGACCTCCAATAAGCACCAACCCTATCGCGAGGAATCAAGCGCAATTCCGAGCCATGTTTGAGAAATACATTACCTGAAAGATCCATTTGTTTATATTGGTTAAGGAGTCAGAATTTTAACAATCAAATTGCCAAATGATGTCCCAACAGCTACACATTTCTAAAAAATGACATATTTCTAAATTATGTTTCTAACATTTTCAACAATATCAGAATTTAGAATTAAGTATAGATACCGGTATAGCATTAGAACTCTGTAAAAATTAACATTCACAAAAACATGTCACGGAATAGCAGAATTATGTTATACCATTAACAAACAGAAAACAATCAGAGAAGATCTAGTATAGAAGTTGAAAGAAATGGTATCAAAATACCTGAAATTGTGTTCATCCATGAGGACAAGTTCATAACATTTGGTCATGCATCTTACTTTCTTTCACCATCTCAGGAACAAATGCAATTATATAAACTTCAATATCACTCCTTTTTACATTTATTCAACAGGTATTTAATGCATAAAAAAGTAAAATCAAAATTTCTTCAGAGTGATGTTATACATTTGAAACTTAAACATCCAAAGCTGATATATATACATGGACGAACCATGGAAATCACATTTATCACCAATATTTTGTGCATAATTTTTGAGAAGACAACTTACAGATTTACTTAACTACTTAAATAAAAATAAAAAATCACAGAATACTTCCATTTTCTTTTATTCTTCTCTAGAGTACTTTTGGAAGGAAGACGTGTAACACTGTCGGACAAACGCAACCATTATGATTTAATTAGAGGACAGAGAACCCCTCCACTGGACATCTAACAAATTAAAAGAACACTGTATAGCGTGATGCATATTATTTATGGTGGTGGAACAAGCCAGAATCAAAATAATAGCCCCACAAGTCCCGACATATCATGGATGACGTGTCCCCAGTTTCCTTGGAACAGGATGTGTAATTACTTGCTCGAATCCAAATTATAAAGAGCATATCAATGCACATTCTTGTAACTTTGAACAGGTTTACTGACTTGAGAATAATGATAACAGAATTATGCAATGCATAGTGTAATCCTTAAATGTGAATTCACAAGGTTCTTATGTAATGGTACTTATCTCTCCAACAAATTAAATAAGAATAATAATAACCAATACCACTACTAACTAAGCCTTATTCACAATACATTGGCATCAGCTACGTGAATCATTTTCCTTTGCCCCTTTCAGCCTGTCCATCCTCACATCTATTACAGAATCCAATAGAATCATATTGTTCAGGAAACGTAACACCCCACGTTAATATTGGTCTATTTCTCCATCTTCTAACCTATTATCGGCGATACGTCCTCATCAGATGTGGAACGACGATGATCCGGTTCGCCGACCTGTTCAAGGCATGGACTAGCACGAATTGAGGCAGCCGCCGAAGTCCAGGCAATCGATATACCAGTGGAATGCCGTCGCCTTGATTGTAGCAAAAACCTTTGACATTGTACTCAAACTTTGCCACAAAATCATGTTACAATAACTAATATTAGTGATGAATGTATTTCATTCATACTTTAGACATTATCTAAACTTGATATTTAANGCGAGCCGCAGCGCAGCTGGGCGAGAAAAAAGGGTTTTGATTTGTTTTGGACTCTTTTCTTGGCCCAACAAGACTCTAACCCTTCCAATACTTCAAAATACTATAAATATAACCCTTAAGACCTAATTCTAGGGGGAAGAACGGTTCAAGAAGCAAGGGGGAATTCAACACAATTCTTCAAGAAGGCAAGAAGGAAAAAATCAAGATATTCAAGAACAAGACAAAGAACAACAAGAGAAGAAATTAAAGATCTACATCCTAGTTTTTCTATTCTCTTTTCTGTCTTTTTATGGCCCTATTTGAGCCAAATTACTGTAGAATGAAAATGAAAAATATCGCCGTTATTGGGGCTCACATAAAAGATAGAAAATTTGAATTTAAATAATGTCACGGATAATGATCATATTTTTCATTTTAATGAGATAATAATGTAGATTAAACAGGGGCTATGCTTCTGTTTGTTTCCCATTATAATGCAAATTCTTACCGTTGCAACAGGGATCATCAGCCTTTTTTAACAATTTTGTCTCATAGTGGGACCCACATCTTTGAAAAAAAGGGGTCAAAAAATGCATTTTCCACCTTAAATAATGGAAAACAAATAGGGGCTATATGAATTTTAGTATTTTCATAGATTACATCATGAGCTAAATTCATTATCTAGGGTTTGATTGTAGCCAAAAACTTGAGAATATGGATTGATTAATTTTAGTTATTTCTATTAGATTTTCCACATGTGTTTATTTGTGTTATGATTTTAATACTTTCAATTAATTGACTACTAATTGAATGATTTGATGCTAGTCAATTCCAGCACTCGAGAGGAGTTTAGGCGTGATCACAAAAATAACACAATATAGGAAATTATAGGTTTCGAGCGAAAGTATAATTCTTTTGAAGCATGTTCCATCTAAGAATCACGAACTTTGATAAATTCTATATTTTAATTCGGAATAGAGATGTTGAAATTAAAATATAGGAATAGTTTTTACTCGACACTCGAGAGAGGGAGTAAAAATTACATTGGTGTTCTTGCTTATAAATTTTGGAAAATTGATTAGAAATAATTATATTATTGAGAATTACATTTAATAGTTAGGTGAAATCATAACCTTAGGCTTTCTCACTTGATTATTCTTCTAGCTTGCATTTATTTGTTGAATTCGTCACCATATTATTTTAAAAACATTGATTATAAAATTCATTCTCTAGATAAAATAGAGGCTATATAATTATATTACTTATTAGAAATGTGAATTACAATCCCCATGAGTTCGACACTCTAACCCCGTTATTTTATTGCAAAACTTGACACCGTACACTTGCTATATAAATCATCACATTATAGAAAACGCGTGACAATTAGCAAATTGGATTAGAACCTGAGCAAGTACAATCTAGTTAAATTCGAACTATACTAAGATCACATTACTCTTATAGCCCATCCTAAAGTTTGGCCTAAAAAATTTGTTCATTTACTCCATAAAGATTGATCATAAAAAATTTAGCCCACTCCAAAAGCCCATGTCTGGCCTAACTTCAGATGTTACCTCACCCTAAAACACAGTCGTATTTCTGCCCATATTCTATAAACATAAGTCTTAAATCTCTACCTTGCCAAGTCAGAAGCTTTAATGAAGTTTGATTGTGCATCAAAAAATATTTTCCTGCTTTTTCACACTTCAAAATAATAATATTGGCAAGGATTGAAGGGTTGGTTGTAGGTGGCTGATGGCAGAGGAATCAATGGTTGTGAAAACAAACAACAGTTAGAGTCTATATGCCACTTCCGCCGTTCAGTATGGCTTTTGGAAATTCAAAAGTTACTTCATTTCTAAGGCTAAGAAGTTGCTTTTGGCCCTATTTGCATATTTTCAAGAAGTGTTTTGACTTTGACTGAATAAAAGAGCTTTTAGAGAAATTTGGCCAAGGTGGTGTTATGGTTTCAGTGGAACTTACAAGGGTTTGAATCTCACATCAGAAGTATGGGCTCCCTTTGTGTGGTTTATATAAACTTGGACTCTCCAACTTCAACAGCTAGCTTTTGAGATATGACTCTCCCAAATTCTATAACATTGGTATCAAAGCAGACATCTCGTCTCAAGACCCTGGTTGGTGTATGGGCGCCTGCCCCGCGTGGGCATAAGAATCGGAAGCCTGGCGATTTGTTGTGGTTCCAATAGAACTTATGGGGGTTTGAATCCTACATCGGAAGTATGGGCTTCATTTGTGTGGTTTATGTAGATTTGGGCTCTCCAATTTCAACAGCTAGCTTTTGAGGTATGGCCATCCCAATTTCTATGACAGGTGGCTTCCCAGGAATCTCTTCTACAAAACAAAAAACCCCGCCAAGCGAGCCCTTCATATATCCATGAACAGAAAACGAGACAGCTGACAAGGGAAAGATATGGCCACAATGGAGAGATGCCCATTATGGTGTTCAACGACAAAGTACTTGATAGAATTGTAGGAGGAAATACAAAAAGAAAGAAAAAAGGTAAGAGGGCAAAAAAAAGTTAAGAGAGGAAAGCTCAGGCGTGACTCGTGAGGCCTAAAAATTAGAATTCAAGTTATTAAGTAATAATAAGTTTGAAATTTTATTTTTAAGAAAGTGGTAAATGGAAAACAAATATTTCAAATGTAGTTGCCTAACCCCGTAATTAAATTTTGATTTTTCAAAAGCTTGAAGCATGGGACAAAGGAATAATTGCTAATTCTTCTTTTTAGGGGGTCTATTAACTGGAAGTACAGGTAACTTTCCATCACAGAGAAGGGGGATATAAGAGTGTAAAGAAAATCCAATGGTGCCGAAGAATATGGAGCAAAATTTGATCCATGCTAAATATGCAAGAAACCTTCCAATGATTATTTGTTATCCCATCCCTATTTCTCCCTCCCATTACTCTTTTAAAACAAAACATATCACATTTTGACCTTTCATAGTTCCTTCAGAAAAAATAAAACAAGAAGAAAAAAGAAGTAAGTTTTATACGCAACTGCAATTAAATTCCAAAGCAAAAAAGTTAAGCATCACCACACTCTGTACAAGCAAATTGGCCACAGCTAAGTCAAAAACAAACAAACAAAGAAAAAGTACTTAAACAATATAGCAGAATATCTGGCATTTTGGCAAGATGGATTAACAAAACTGGAGAGTTAGAAAAGCTAAACGCTTGTTTATTATAGTGCCAGTTTCATTCAGGCCATGTCAGGGAGCACTAGAAATTGTAATTTCTACCGTTAACTATTCAAACTTGGGTCCCACCTGTCTCACATGTGGTCAAAAAGGGCTGCTGCTTTTCAACTTAACGGTACAAAAAGGAATTATTTTGGGCTGAAAAATCTGTCCCAGACAGCCGCTCAATATTGCGTACCAAACGGGCATGCATAATATCTATAAAAGCCTATAGATCAAACAAACAAATTTATGCCAACCGGAATATCTCATAATGAGCTAAATATAACTATCAAATCTGTAGTCAATCCCACGCTGCAGATCACTCTGAAGGATACAAAATGTCCCAATAACAACATGTTAGGATTTGGAGTTCCATCTTAAAAGGTCAACCTTATTAAGAGGAGTAATCCAAGATCTTTATTAATTGGTCTACGTCAACATCATTTATCGATGTAGGATATATATCCCTTAACACACCCTAGCATAATGGGCTCTGATACCACGTTAAGAATTGAGGTTCCATCTTAAAATGTCAACCTTATTAAGAGTAGTAGCCCAAACCTTTATTAATCGGTCTGTATCAACATCATTTATCGATGTGGGATATATATCCCTTAACACAAACACAACAAAGCTGAATTCTGATAGATAAATGTAATTATGATGTACCTGCACTTTGTTGAGGATTAATTCCCACACCATCTGCAAATAAAATTTTAAAAAAGGAAATTGTGAATAATCATTAAACGGCCTAAAACAAAATCTTCACGAAATTAATATACATCGGATCATTATAATCCGCCCACACCCCCATAACAAAAAAGAAAATGTTGATCACCAAAAGAAATTCAGTTGAGGATTCCAAATAGAAAATTCCAGGAAAAAAAGAATTCATTTTAGAAGCTCAATCGATCTATTAAATTTTTTTTAAAAAATTACATGAGGAAAAAAAATACCGTTTGTGATGATAGCACTAGTTTGAGGAGGGACTTTGAATTCCTCAGCGGCAAATTTCAGAACTGCAGTGAATGGTGCTGCCTCCGGAACGCTAAACCTGTTTATGAATTTAATTCAAAAAATAAAAAAAATTAAACATTTTTCTTTAAGAAACGGAAATTAATTTGACATAAAAATGTGAAAAGGAATTAAAAGGGTAATTTAAGAGTAACTAACACTTTAAACGGAAGTTTGGGATCGGAGGTGAGAGTGACCTTGAAAGAGACCTTTCCGCCGCCGGCGCCACTGCTCGCCATTTTCTCTTCGGTTTTTATTTTCTTTACGAATTTTCGTTTCTTTTCTCTTAAAAATAAAATAAAATAATTGGCGTTTTAAAGTCTTGAGGAGTAGAAGTAGAACGTAAACAAAACGCACGCACACGCAGGGCCAGAAATGAAATGACATTAAAAGAAAATTGCAACATTGGTCCCTAACCTATTGCTCTATTGGCAAATGTATCTCAAATCTTTGAATTAAATCAAGTTAAAACTTTTTAATATTTTATTATAATTGTATAATCAGTCCATAATGATGGTAATTGTCCAAATCTGTACTAAATTTTCATATAATCCTCGTGTATATCTAATTCTATGAAGCTAAATTTTGCTCATATCTTACGACCACTATTTAAAAACCCTTTTTTCTATATATTCATTTTCAATCATATTTATACGTAAATTCAAAACTTTTTCCTACTTCCACTTCTAAATCACACAGTCTTCTAAAAATCACTATCCAAAACAATATTTTACCCAAATAATGGCTATCAAAAAAAATAAATATATCCACCATCAGATTATTTCTGGCCCTTACCATTAGTTAGCTCAAACTTTCTGGCAAAAATCCCCCACTTCCATTGGATTATACAAAATTTTCCAAGCCTTGCCCTATTTCTATTAAACCAAATATTCCAAAGTAACACTAACCAAAAAAAAAAGTGTCTTTAAGTGTTCAGATTTTAGCACATTCTGATTTTACTCTATTCAGTCCCTCGGAATTCGCATCTCAGCACAAGTCATGCCAACACCATAAAATATGTCCTGCATCATGTTGGAGAAATCAAATCCAAAACTTGCGATTTGAGTTTTTTCATTCTTTGTATAAGGAGTTCATTGATGTGTTCAAATGGACTAAAATTTGCAAATTTTCATTCCTTCATAATCAGTGGCTACATATCGGTAGTGGTCTATACCTGAACATTTTTCAGTCTTAGTGAAACGAGAAAGGTTAAAGATTTAATTTCCATAAGAGTCGGCAATGTTTGAAAAATCTTAATTGAAGAGTCTATTTCGAAAGCTCCCCAACAAATTTCTTTGTTCGGATTAGAGAATCTTTTGTAATTTCAAATGGATTCTAACGTTGAACGGACTCATTGGAGAACAATTAAGAATCACAAACTATTAGAATTCTGTATGGATATCAAAGAATTTGTTAAAAAAAAAAGAAGGGTATTTGAATCATATATACAACGAATTTAGATTATTTTACCATTTAAAGAGAGAGGAATCGAGACATATGCAAAGAAACAAGGGCTAATGGTGTTTCCCTTCAAAACCTGAAAAATCTATACACCTAGTAGTTAAGAAACTGTCCACAAAGTATCGCGGAAGCCAAGCCAATAATCATTATCCACCACTTCCCCATCGATGGTCGCAATCCAGTTGAATCACCACAGATCAAATTGTTGTTATGGTACGTGCACACGGGTTGCCTCCTGCAATCGTCACGACAAAAACAGCAACATTTAGTGACAATAGCACTATGAATCGAGTAATCTTCTAAGTTTTAGCATTACCTCGATGAGCAAAAAGCGACAACATAATCTGTTCCAATGCATGTAAAAATGCTAGTTGGATCATCATACGCATAACTATAAGATGCAGGGCATGCCTGCTTGAATTTTTTCGAGTAGGTCGTAGGTTGACATGTAACCGGGTTCGCATACACGCCTCGACAGCAGTACTCGTCACTATTGAACACATCACACGCACTTCGACACCCCACGGTCCTACCATTGCTTCTAACAGCAAGTTCATTAGGGCAACTGGTCCTTAAATCTGCATCACACCCTGCAATACTACAATTTCCTCTACCATTAAGGGCTGTCACACTTATTGGCAAGTTGAATCCATCGACGAGGCTAACGTCATAAAAGTCCAACGAGGCGAGGGTGAATTCTGCTAGAGTCGCCGGGGGTTTGCCCGTGGCTGAACATTTTAGAGAATTGCCACAGTTGCCAGTTTGACAAGATCCATTGCCATTCCTGTCGAAATTGCAGCCTGTTCGAGCCCATATTCGACCAGACCAACCAACCGGAGCCGTGAAAACGAGAGATTGGCCCGGTCTTAATGCGAAACCACCTCCATCAAAACTCTCTCCCGGGGCAACACCAGGCCAAATTGTCTCTCTACAGTTGTTTACTATGGTGAATATTCGAGCAGACTCCGAGACTTTTGCTCCTGTCATTACATAAGAAAAACAAAAGACAACAAAATATATTTAGATTGTCGAAAGTACAAATACAAATAAATAAATGGACTTGTACTTTCAAATGAGTAACCATTTAATCAATGTATCAAGAAAACTGTGTAAAGAACAACAAATTCCCCTCCCCACTGCCCACCCCAGCTTTCTCTTTGCTCCATCGTCTCCTCTGACTCGGACCACGACTTTTCCCCCCACTCAGACTCTCCCCGCCCCGCCAACCGGAATCGAGGCAATGTAGTTACCTATTATAAAAAGATGTAGAAGCAAAAATGCAGACAGAAGAATTTTATGTGTCATTTTCTCTTGATCCTTTTTTTCTGCTAAAAATTCAGGGCTGGGGCCATATTTTTTTGTGTAATTGCATATATAGAGACAAAAAAGCACGCGAGGAATACGTGCAGAGTGTAAATAGAAGCACTGATTGCATGGAAAGGTTAGAATTATTCCTTTCCTAAACTGTTCTTTGAAGATTAGAATATACTAATCCATTCTCTTGTCTTTGAAGTAAAAAAGAAAAAAAATAAAATGAGGTAGGAATTTCCTTCTTTCAGTCTATGATCTATTATTTATGGAAGTTGATAAGATTTATATATCTGAATCCATGATTTCAATGAATACTCGAAACTCTTGAAGTTAATAATTGTGAAGTACTTGAGAAATATGAATCATTTTTATCAAATTATTTTGCGCGATTGTTCAATAGTCAATCATCTACTTTGGTATAGATATTTATATTTGTTTATAAGATTCCGAGTAATACCATACCTCGATTACTATCCAACAAAGTGAGTTTTTCAATAATAAATTTGAAATGGATTATAAAAAATCAATTCTTGTTAAATAATTACTCATCTCCTTGTGTGTGTGTATATATATACATATATGTATTTTTTTTGGCATAAACTGATGAGAACCACGTAGCAATAGTAGATACGCAACCCACAACGAGATTAAAATTAACCCAAGAAAGCCAATAAATTGAGGTTTTGGACTCGATCCAAAATTAATGAACCAAGCAACCAACCCAATCAACGACAATATGTTGCCCTCTTGATTACACGACTTATNTGATCTCTTGATTACACGAATTATAAATCTAGCCTGAGTGTTTGAACACCACAAGAAATCAATTCATGATAAGTTCGTAATTGCTCAATGAAGAACAATGGATTTGAAAGCTAAAAAAGTCTCACGATTAATTCTCAATAATAATAATAATAATAATAATGTACGTTGTCCATACAATGAATATAACGTCAATATTTATAGGAAAACCCTAATTGGACCGTAAATAACTTGCTAAGATTACAAAAGATTGCAATAAAAAATAGAATTTTAATGAAATAAGAAAACCCGCCAAAAACTAAAATTATCATGTTAGCCATTCTTGTCAACTAAAATACCGCAAGTATTTGGTGTCGTAAATAAATAATAAAGTGTGATACTTAAGAGAATTGCATATTCAGTTAGATTCCAATTAATATTGACATTAATCGAAATAATATAATTTTATGAAGGTTGAAGATTGAAAATTAAATTTAGAAACTAACTAAAGGTAAGAATTTTAACTAAACTATGGATTTTTATGAAAACTCAATTAATTAAAATTACTAGGACATTGAATCCCCTATATTGCTCCATTTTAATATCATACTCATATAATCGATAATACTTATTTACACTTGACTTTCCTTTTGTATTCAATAATATCCCTCGAATAATTATAAAAATATTATTACACATGAGTCTACTATATTTCTATAGAAGATGCGAATATATGAAAACAAATTAAGTCCCAACAACATTTACAATAATATTATGCAAAGTGTAATGATATATCTTTATTTACTATTGGACTTTACGACTATTGTTACTACGTGCTAAACTTTTTATTCGTTCTCTCAAACAGAATAAAA